CCCGCCGGGCCCACGTCCGGCGGCTTGTCGCCGCGGAAGATTTTGTACAGCAGGTAAAGACACAAAGCGAGCAGGGTCAGGTTCAAAGGGGACGTGAAAATCTCCTGTAAGATTCCGTCTGAAGTGGTTTCGAGCTCATCTACTTCAGCCATGTTTGAGTCTGGCCGTGTTTTCCGCTGTGTGGGCGTGTCTGGAGAGTGGGAGAAGTGAAGAGCTTTCAGCCAATCAGAGAGCCCGGATATGTGACGCCTTATCGACCTCATCCAATCACATTACGCTTAACTTACATCAAATACGTACAATAAAACAGATTCAATCGATATTGGATCGTGGGGTTAACCAAACGCGGTCAACAAAGCGTCAAACGTACTTCCATGCAATTCATGTAGACATGAATATTTTTCCAATCGTAAAATAGCTGTATTTATTCAACATATAATATACAATGTAACGCGGATTATCATTATTATTATTATTTAATAATGAATATAATAATGATTCCAAAAGAGACTTTCAGTTTCACAAACACAACTAAAAATAACTTTGGAGTGCACGCTTGTTTCTTCCGTCCTCATACAAGCCGCAGTGACGTTTGTGAGTAGTTCCCACCCCAACAAACAAAGCTGAATTCGAATCATACCCCGTCCCCCCCACCCCAACCCAACCCGCTTCCCGAACGCGTCGCTCAGTTCTTCTTTTAGAGCACTCATCCACCATTTCAATCAGAGCCCCGGTTTGATCAATTGGAAACTATGTTCATGTTGTCTTTCTGGAACCTTATGGAGCTCTGGCGTTTTCTGCCATTGCGCAACAGGGGAGGGCACGTTCGCCAATAGCAGCCGGCTTAGCTTAGCTTTAGCTCACTTGAGCTGGACAGAGATGACAAGCGCCTTCACTGCCCCTTTGTCGCCCGTCCAAAACATTTCGTAGCTGCCGATGTTCACTTGACGTTTTCGGCTTTCTCTTGCTGTTGTTGTTGTTGTTGATGGAGACGTGTTGAGTCCTGCTCGCTGCCAAGTAAGATCTCTGATTTTACCCATCGCCACTAGAATTGAATCATGTATTTAGCGAGTTAAATAAAATGACAGCATACGCGGAGTAGTTTGTTTCAAATGAGTATAAAGCCACCCGGAAAAGATGAAAACATACATACAAGAAAATACATAAATATTACGCAAGGAAGTGAAAGTTGTATTATTTCAGAAAAAAAAGTTGTTTACTGCATTCACGAGACAGTCTTATCTTCTCAAGACGAAAGCTATAATTTCACGTTCATAAAGTGGTATAGTTGAAGAATTTATGTTCAATATTAAAGTTCAAATTTCAAACAAATCTGCTTGTTTTGTACAATTCCTTCGTAATTCCATCCCAGAATGTATTAGGATGACCAATAGTGTGGTGCATTTTTTCTTTTCCCAGGCCAGCTCTTCCTTCCTTCCTTCCTTTCTTCCTTCCTTCCGCTTTTGTCCGCCCCACCCCACACACACAAAAAAGTTTTCAGGAATATGAGCGGCATGCGCGTGGATGCCAAGGTGGTGATGTTGGGCAAGGAGAGCGTGGGCAAGACCAGCCTGGTGGAGAGATACGTCCATCACCGCTTCCTGGTCGGACCCTATCAGAACGTAAGATTCAACGCAAGAACGCCATTTGAGATGCTGCCGCAGATATGCACTCGGAATATGAGAAAAAAGTTGGATATTTGATCTCTTTGTGCAGACTATCGGTGCTGCTTTTGTGGCCAAACCAATCCAGGTGGGAGAGAAAGTGATCACCTTGGGAATATGGGTGAGTCAGGTCCCGCCTTTATCGCCATCACACAACATCACGGCTACCGAACAATCTTGAACCATCGCGGCCTGCCTCGTTGCTTTATTTAAATTGTTCTAATCACAACGGTAAATCGCGCGGGTGTGCTGGCAGCCATTTTGTGTTTGATGTCCGCCGGATGCGATTCATTTAGTTGAATTAAAAATCAAGTCCATTTTTTAAAAACAGATTCCTGTGTGTCAACTTTAATGAACAGTATTCCATAAATATATATTATTCATAAATATTATTCTTTTTATGATCATACTTGGACCCGATCATTGAATATAATTTTTTTTCGTATTTTCATTCATTTTAACCTTTTTTTTTGTACAGTTTTTCTGGGGCAGGGAGCCATGAAACATTGAAGTCAGTCAAAACAAAATGCATATTATTGTCCTTAATTTGCGTGTTTTGGTCATTTTTAGATCTGACCGACAGCAGCAGCTTCCAGCGAGCTCGTTTTTGGGTGAAAGAACTGCAAAACTGCGAAGAGGTACGCCAGCTTTTCAGAGGCTGATGCGCTCGTACTGTGTTTTACCGTTTTTTTGTTTTTTAACCGTCTCCAGCACTGTAAGATCTACCTGTGCGGCACCAAAAGCGACCTGATCCAAGGAGACCGAAGTCTTCGTCAGATCGACTATCACGACACTCAGGACTTTGCTGAAGGTGACGACTGAAGTCATCCCCGCAGTTTCTGTTTGCAATAGGGCTGAAATTACAAAAAAAAAAAAAAGACTTCAGGCTTGACAAACCGAACAAGTCGTCAAATGCCCCGATTGCAAAACGTTTCCTTCGCTGGCACTTCTTGAATGACTCATTTTGTTTCGTTGCCCTCTGCAGAGATCGGAGCGCAGCATTTTGAGACCTCCAGTAAAACGGGAAGCAACGTGGGTGAGTCGAGACACGCTTGCGTTCATTTAGTCATCGTCTGTCAACTGTACGAATACTCACGTGGAGAGCGGAGTGGAAACGCGCACATTTTACGACCGGCTTTCACGTTTGAGATGAAACGGAACGCCTCAAAGCCGGAGCGCGCGAATGCAAACGTTGGATGAAATCATTCACGACCGAAAGTGAAGGTCAAAGCCTCTTACCGCCGCAGATGAGCTGTTCCAGAAGGTGGCCGAAGACTACAACAACGCCACTTTCCAGTATATGACAGGTGAGTTTTCCCGTCACTAATGGACGGATAATCACAAAAACAACTCAACTGAGATGCCTTTTCTGTAGCTTAGCTCGCCTGTTTTTCAAATGCGGAGACACTGAACTCAAAACCACGTTTGATCCATTTTTACATTAAAAAAAGAAAAAAATCCAAACCTGTGTTTTGGCAGAAGAAACGGGAGTGAACTTGGGCCAGAAGAAAGAATCCTACTTCTACTCGTGCTGCAACAGCAACTGATGCTGCACCGCCGAATGGAAGAATGTGCCGCATCAGAACACGGACGCCGGTGGAAGAGAAGCGAGAAAAGAAAACAAGAGCAAATGGACATTTCTTTTGTGCCATGAACAAATCATTTGGAGGAGTTTGTGCCAAGTGAAGGCTTCAATTTAAGAACAAATATTTCATCCAGAAGGGGATCTCCACACCTGTGCTGGGTGAAGACAACCGAGCTGCTGTAACTCTATTCTTCTGAGGGTTTTTTTTTTTGGGGGGGGTCGATGTTTTAAGACATGTTTTGGACTCGTTTCCACCAAAATAGCCAAAAGGATCAAAAATTAGAGCACACTAAATAAACGACGTCAACTTGTTTTGTTGGCGCGGCGTCACCTCACGCTAGTCGGCCACCCCATAAACTGTGCCAGTGGCGAGTATGGATTTTGTTACCATGGTGACTCCAGAACACCCCCTCAAAAGTGTCAAATGTGTTTCACGAGCAAGCCCCCCCCCCCCAAAAAAAAAAAACGTGGATTCTATTTTCTGTACATCCATGCAGGGCTGCTTACCTTTTCACTTTGGTTTAAAGTTTCTCCCCCTTTGTCGTGTCCGGACTGCACATGAATGGCGCCTGCGCAAAAGACCACCGGCAAGTGAATCTGTCGCACAATTTCTTGTACCGCTGGAGGACATGATTGGCTCCTTAATTTGCACGGTCTGAGCCGCCCCAAATGAAAAAGTGACTGACTTTTTCACAGGCGTTTTTTTTTTCTTTTCGCTCGGGTTTCCTCGAGTGGGCAATGCGGTCAGCTGATGGGAAAAAAAAAAGACTTTAAATGGTCCAAACTGACACCTGGGAATGAATGATAACGCCGTTGTTTGACATTTAGCCTTCGTGTTTGCGCACCTATTTATTGCCTACGAATCACAGCGTCGGATTACGCTTCAAACAACCGCTTGAATGTTTTTCTTTTAAATACAAGCTGTTCGAGTTTCAAATCGTAACACATCCGGGGGGAATCGCGAGCTTCATAAAATGATGTTTCATGATTCATCCTCAGCTCTTGGATGCAAACGTGGCAAAAGAAATAAAGTGGAAATCGTGTGCATTCATGGACTATGAATGGAGCCTACAGTACATTTCGATTCTAAACAAAAAATGCTTGTTTGACACACCCACCTCGACTCTTGTGAAGTGAGGAAGAAATATTTGTGCTAAAAAAAAAAAAAAACACCTCACAAATTGTAAAATACGTGAAATCTCTCAAAATCTCCACAGGGATTGAGTGAGTGACAATTTGACAGGAAATTTCCTTTGTTTTAGGTTAGACTTTTGTTTGTGGAGCTTTCAGGGCCACTGAGATAACCTCGCTTTTTGGGGTCTTTAAAATTAGCATTACAACATGGGTCACAATTGTAATACTTTGAAATATCTACATTCGAAAACAAAATTTCAAACTTTTTTTTTTCCCCCAAAAGATTTTTTAATTGTAAAATATTTAAATGGGAATACAATATAAAGGGGCAAGCTCAAATCCGAATGTTGTCCCCCACGAGAATCACTTCACACATCAAATGGACAATAATATGAACATAGTAACACATGATTAAAACGGGAGTTGGCCATGTGCAGTTCTACTTTTTATTTTGGCTTCATGTTGGAGCAGAAAAAAAAAAATGAGGCCAGTACAAAGTGCTTATTTCACAACATTTCTCTCTCTCTATATATATATTTATATATTTACTGTATATTTTTGTAGATTTGTGTGTATGGAAGGCGGCGAGACGGAACGGGCTAGAATGAGACGTGTTAGTCGGGGGCGCCTAATTCATTCCTTCAAAATAGCTCGAGGGAGAAGACACTTTAAGGCAGAACGCGCGCACACACACACACACACACACACACACACACACACACACACACAAGCAACATGGT